GGCGCGGGGACGCGGGGCGGGCGCGCGCGGGCGCACCTTGTGCAGCGACGTGTGCTCCACCAGCTGGAAGGGCGCCGGGTCGATCTTGGCGTTGCTGAAGTCCACGGGCTGGTCCAGCTGCTGCTCCTCCCACTCCAGCACCTGGGGGCAGAGGCCGTGGGGCATGTGGGCACATGGCCTGCGCTCCCTCCCCGTGTCCTCGGGCTCCAGCAAGGGTGCCCCACCAGCCCGGGCACCCAACACTGCAGGGGCACTGGAGACATTCCCCTCTGTGCTCAGCACCGCTGGGCCTTGGGGGTCCTGGTGAGGCTGGGGGCGCCCAGCGGCACTGCCAGCCCTCCTGTCTCACCTCTGATGGCGTCATCTTGTCACCCAGGTCCACATCCTCCTGCAAGAGAGGCGGTGGTGAGCGGGCCTGGCAGGGCGGTGGGGGCGGCGTTCTGGGCACGGGCGGGCTGCTGGCGCGGCACGGAGCAAGCAGGATGCGGGAGGGCACGGAGCAGGGCATGGGAAGGGCATGGGCAGGAATCTGACAGGACACGGACAGGACGCGGTCAGGGAGTGGGCAGGAATCTGGCAGGGATCAAGCAGGAAGCAGGCAGGGATCCAGCAGGGATGTGGCACAGAATGGGCAGGGACCTGCCAGGGGACAGGCTGGGAGTGGGTAGGGATCAAGCAGGGATCCGGCACAGAATGGGTAGGGATCAAGTGGGAAGTAGGCAGGGATCCAGCAGGGATCCGGCACAGAATGGGCAGGGATCAAGCGGGAAGCAGTCAGGGTTTGGGCAGGGATGTGGCAGGGATCAGGCGGGCAGGGATCGTGCCAGGTCCATGACTGGCTGGGAAGAGCTGGGCTGGTGATCCAGGCCATGCCGTGATGGGTGAAGGAGAGTCAGATCCAGTTTGTGATTGGTTGAGAGCGCACAGGCTGTGCCATGATTGGCTGATCGATGTAGAGCTAGTTCCCTGATTGGCTGACAGGGACTATTCACCAAGCAGGTCTGTGACGGAGAGGACAGAAGCTGCGCCGTGATTGGTGGAGCAGAATCAGGCCCATCTGTGATTGGCTCGCGCACACACAGGGAAATCATGATTGGCCAAGCAAAACTGTGCCAGGCCCCTGATTGGCTGACAGGATCCAGTCTGGGCTCCCATTGGCTGGGAGGAGGTGCATCCAGCCTGTGAGTGGCTGCGGCTTACCGAGAGGGAAATGCGGACGTGCTTGGTCTTGCGCTGGGCCGTGCCCTGGGCCTGGCACCGTGCCGGGAGAGACACAGGAGTCAGGGGGACCCACGGCAGAGCCGGCTGGGGTGGGCAGGAGCTGGTGGGGATGGGCAGGGATGGGTGGGAATGGCGAGGGTGGGCCGGGGTGGACAAGACCCAGTAGGGATGGGAAGGACCAGGCAGGAACGGGAAGGACCAGATAAGGATGGGCAGGGATGGGAAGGACCAGGCAGGAACAGGAAGGGATGGGAGGAATGTGCAGGGATAGGGAGGACCAGGCAGGGACAGGAAGGACCAGATAAGGATGGGCAGGAATGGGAAGGGACATGCAGGGATGGGAAGGACCAGATGAGGATGGGCAGGGATGGGAAGGGACGTGCTGGAACAGGCAGGGATAGGAAGGACCAGGCAAGGATGGGAAGGACCAGGTAAGGATGGGCAAGGATGGGAAGGACCAGGCAGGGACGGGCAGAGATGGGCAGGACCAGGCAGTGATGGGCAGGGATGGACAAGACCAAACTGGGCCGGGGAAGGACAGGCCATGGATAGGCAGGAGCAGGACGAGCCCCCACCTCGGCAGGCTCCGTGGACGCGTTGGCACAGAAGAGGCTCTTGAGAGCGATGCCGCTGTGGTCAGTGGTGCCCGCTGCGGACGTGGAGAGCGTGTCAGGCCCCCGGTGCCTGGTGGTCCGGGCTGCGGGCAGGGCCCGGGCTTACCCTGGGTGCCCTCTGCCAGGCTGCTGGGCACCCGCTTGAGCGCTGGCTTCAGGGGCTTGCGGGAGCCGCTGCGCGTGGGCGCGAAGGATGAGGCCTCGGTGCTGATCTGCGGGACGGGACGCGCTGGCTGGTGCTCTGCACCCAGTCCCTCCCCATCCCCGCGAAGGGCAGCGGTGCCAGGCTGGCTGTCCGCGCGTCCTCACCCGGGAGCGAGAGCCGGTGGCCTCCCTCGGCGCCCCCCTCCTGCTCCTCCAGTGCCTTCTGCCGCAGGGCCTGGAGCCGTCGCTCGGGGCTGAGCTGGTGGCTGAGCAGGGCCACCACCTGCGTCCGCTCGATGGAGCCCAGCAGGATCATGGACTCTGCGAGCAGCGAGGGGCCCACGTGGGCACTGTGCGCCCCAGGCACAAGGGCACCGCTGCGGGAGCGCGGCTCGGACGCCTGCCTTCCCAGCCTCATCCCGTGCCTCAGTTTCCCCAGTGGCCACAGAAGCAAAGGAGCCGGTGACTTGAGCAAGCGCCTGTGCCACCCTCTGCCTGCGCCGCTGTGCCCGTGCCCGAGGAGGCCACCCCGGCGTGGTGGTGGAGCCATCTCCGCTGCCCCGCGCCTGTGTCTCACCAGCCGACTCCACCAGTGCCAGGCTCTTCATCTTGGTGCTCTGCAGGACGTGCTGCAGGTCCCGGTACTTGCAGTTGAGGGTGACGTAGGGGATGTCCCGCACCATGATATCCTCCACCCGCACGTTGTATTTCCTGCCCAGGGTGACACGGTGCCCTCAGCACGGACGGACAGAGCCAAGGTACCCACCAGGGCACAGCGGCTGTAGGGTTGGGGATGGCACCTGTGCCCAGCAGGGCCATCCAGGAGCTGGGAACACTCCTGAGGATGGCCTGGGGGTGCCACTCACTCGTGGTGCCCCCAGCCCAGCTCGGGGAGGTAGGGCAGCTTCTTGATGCGGATGATGCTGTCGTAGAGCGAGGGCTGGAGGCTCTGGGCCACCGTGTTGGCCAGGATCACCGCGATCATGACGGGCAGGATGTGGGAGATCTGCCCCGTCAGCTCGAAGACGATGACGGCCGTGGACACCGTGTGGGTGACGGCGCCTGACAGCGCGGCCGCCCCTGTGCCCGCGCATGTCCCCGAGAGACACAGGGGCAGCTCATCAGGTCCTCGTCTGCCTGCCCGCGGGGTCGTCCTCCCACCATGTCCCTGTCCCCTTCCCTTAATAGCCCTGAAGACATCTCCATCCCTGGGACAGCCCCCATCTCCAGGGAACCCTCAAGCCCTGGGGACACCCCCACACCTGTGAGATCCCCTAGCTCCTGTGATACCCATCCCTTGCGACCCCCTGGGGACAGCCCTGGGGTCACCCCGCTCCCCGAGGACACTGTCCCAGCCCTGGCCAAGGCCACGGAGCACTCCCCTGCGCTCATTTGCAGCTCCTATGAGCAGGCAGCGGTGCGGGGGGCACGTGGCGCGCGGCACGTGGCGTCCCCGTGCCGGCCCACGGGCACGGTGCTTACCCACCACGGCGTAGCCCCCGGGCACGATGCGATGGGCCGTGCTGTCCGTGTGGATGCCATCAGGGAACCAGGCGGCCATGCTCTCGCCCACCAGGCGCCCGAAGGCTGCCCCTGCCCAAAGAGAGCGGCTCAGAGCGGGCAGGGGCTTGGCAGGGCCGCGGGGTGCCCCTCAGGCTCTCCGTGTGCCCAGCGTTGGCAGGCTCTCACCGATGACGAAGACGGGCATGAAAGCTCCGCAGGGCACGGGGATGGTGGTGGCCAGGGCTGACATCCAGAACTGCGTGGTGGGCACAGGCACGTGTTAGCCGGCACCCTGGCCCGGGCCTCCCGCCAGCTCAAGCTGTGCTTCCCAGCTGGCATTGGCACGGCCTGCCGCGGAGCGGGCACAGCGCACTGCTGAGGGGCAGCCGGGCTCCTCCGAGGGGACACCCGCCAGCGTCTGCCTGCGGTGGCACCTCTGGACACCTGCCAGCACCTCCCCGGGAGCATCTGGGGACACTCAGCCACCTAGTTTAATGCCTCTCTGTTGGCACTTGGTGACACCCAACTAATGCCTCCCGAAGACATCTGTAAGCACCTTCCTAGCGCACTTGGAGGACACTTGTCCAGCATCTCCTTAACGGCACTTGAGGACACCTGCCTGTGTCCCGCCTGGAACATCCAGGAGATACCCACCTTCATGAGGATGAAGACGGTGAGGGTGATGAAGACATTGGAGCGAGGGTGGTGCCAGGCCTCCAAGATGCCCAGGTACTCCTCGCTCAGGCCCTGCTTTGCCCACGTCTGATTGTCAAAGAGTGTCACCAGGGTGTCCTTCTGGGTGAGCTGTCAAGGGAAAGGGATGGGACCAGAGTGGGTAGCAGCCTCGCGGGCACTGACTGCACAGACTGCAGAGTGCCACGTTGGGCATCACAGGTACCTGGCCAGCCATGAACTGTCCGAAGCCAGGTGGGAAGGTCAGTGTGGAGATGACCAGCGTCACCAGGGCAGGGAAGAGCAGGCGCCTGGAAAGGTGGCATGGGATGATGCCAACACACGCTGGTGCCTGCCACCCCCCAGCTCCTACCATGCTGGGGTGACGGCCACTCTCGCCAGGTAGTGGTAGGTGCTGGGCACCTACTTCTTCATGAGGAAGCGGTTGATGGTCTTCTGGCGGCGCATGAACTGCACGATCTTGCGGTTGAGGTAGACAAAGAGTGCGCCCCCAAAGCCACTGGCGATCCTGGGCACGGGCACGCTGTGAGCGCCGCT